TTAAGTAATCAAGACAGCTCTTCAAATGAAGTTGGACAAAGTAATGCTTATTCTGTGGAAAAAGTGAATGATTCAAACATTACTCAGTGTCAGTTTTTAGACAACTCAGTTGGCTTTGCCTTTCAAGCCTTTGGTAAGAATAGAAAAAGGAAGAACAAAAACAGTTGAAAAGAAAATATTATTTTCTTTCCAAATGCCTAAGATCTGAAAAGATAAAAATGTTGCTGTTCTTAAACTTTTTTCCTGAGAATTTGTAGAATACTCAGAAACAATATGAATGACTGGTGCTTTTCCCAATACTGATTATATTATAAGGGATGCATGGGTCATATTAACTTCTGTTTCAGAACTACTACTCCATTGCTCTTGTGGACGGCCGTATGGAGGCCAGGATAAGGTCTGACGGGAACCAGCCAGTGGGGATACAGGCTAAAGAACGCTTCAACGATGGAGTCATGCATTGTGTGTCTCTCATCAAAGATGGAAAGATGTGAGTTTTAAACAATTATTTGTCGTTGACTATAAAAAAAGTAAAGTTGTTCCCACATCCGATCCGGACATTGGGGATTGTCTTGTTAATGAGACAACTTCCTGGGCCTTTGGCGCTTTGTGGTAGGGTGGCCAGTTCCTTTCCACTCCGCCTTTACTTCCCCAACTCGGAGTTAGTTACCCATTTCTGCTGGGTGGGCAGGAGGTGGCGAAAAAAATGCGTGTCCGAAACGAGGCTCGAACCCGGACTTTCCGCTTTCAGACTACTGAACCCAAAATAGAACATACTCAAAGATGGAGCGTGTTGTTATCTATCGGAATACAGTGCTGAAAGGAAATATTCTACCAGAAAACCAATAACAAAAAGGAATCCTTCTTGGAATTGGTCCTGGAACTTATGCATAACAAATAATAAAAGTTAAATGAATAAACTTTCTAGACCGGGTTTGCAAATTGTAATATAAAAGTGAAGCTCATAAGTCTTTGGGTAGAGTCTGTTGTTTGGTTTTTGGAAAGTTGGCAGCTACGGTATCAGGATTATGAATTCAAATATCAAATAATGCAACATTCTATATTTTACAGTGTCGATGTTATGAAAAGAACAAATACCAATGAATGCCACATTTTATATTTTACAGTATCAAGGTTGTGAGATTTAAAGAATGTCAGGTTCTATATTTTACAGTGTCAAACTGGTAGTGAAGGTTATGAGAGATGAAGAACTAATATGTATGAATGCCACTTTTTAAATTTTACACTATCAAGGTTATGAGACGTTAAGAAGAAATACCAAGGAATGCTACTTTCTATATTTTACAGTATCGAGATTTTGAGATATAAAGAACAAATGCCAATAAATGCCACATTCTATATTATACAGTATCGAGATTTTGAGATGTAAAAAAACAAATGCCAATGAATGCCAAATTCTCTATTTTACAGTATCAAGCTAGTGGTGGACGACAAGGTCCTGGGCACAGACTCAGCCCTGGATGTGTCGTTCTTTAATGGAGGAGACCTGTACCTTGGAGGTTCTCCGATAGATGTGGATGACATTGCCCCCACCAGTATCAAGCTGGATGGATGTATCAGTGATGTCATTGCCAATGGAAAGTGAGTGGATGGAGTCATATTTGATGTGTATACTTTTACTTGCTGTGGTGTCTTATCCCTTTGAGTCCTTGTACCCTAAGCTTGCTCTTTCTTGTATGAAATTATGTGCGGAGCTGTACTTCAGGGCTATGATTCAGCCCGCAGATAATTTTGACTCTAGACGCAATTAATTTATTACCACTTCGTGACCTCACTGGTTGTCTCACACAAAGTTAATAAAGAAATATCTAAATTTGATAAAACCCTATGCGTGATATATAGAAATGTTTAGAATAAGAAATACTAATCAATGACACCAGGAAAAGAGGGTTGAAATATAAGTGGTAAGAAAAAGAAGAGAGGAAAGTCATGTGAAGAAAGGGAGCAATGGGTAAGAGCTGTTCTTAGCGGCTCTGCGTCAAAACACAGGAACCTGTCAGCCACTGTGAGCGGTGCTGCGGGCTGAATAAGTTAAGAAAAAATGTAGGAGGAAAAGAGAAAACTTTCATTCAAAAAAGAAAAGAGAATCTGTATAAAGATATCTTCCTCTTCTTCATATTGCAGATTTTGTGACACAAATGTCAGTTTAGAAAATTTTTAATTGATAAGGATAGATAAAGTTTTGATTAGTCTGAGTGGGACAGGGGATATAGACAGTCTACCATCTCTTCAAACTGGGGCACAAATCTTTCATTGGTGCAGTACCATACTTATTCCATATATTATATGAATGGCATCATCTGCCTTAGTTCAAAATTGTCTTCTTTCCTGCTCTATTTTGTGTCTAATAACCATAGGTCTAAAGTAAGGGTAAGAGTCTATCACTTCTTTCAACACCGTTATGTTATTTAAGAGATGACACCTCTGAATTTATGTCTGTCTCTGATAAGACTGAACCAGTTGGGTTTAGAGCTTTGAAAAGTCCACTAGACAACCAGAGATTTTAAGAAAGCCCCATTGAGGATTCAAACCAGGGATGTCTGCTTTACAGTTCAGCAAGTTTTCACCTGAGCTAATAGAGGGCCCACCAAAGATCTGGTCAAGGGCATAAAAATAGATCCCTGAAAATCTAAATATGGAGCCTGCTTTCCAATTGATGACTGGTTATGTCTAGTTAGGCTTTATGCTCATATATGAGCTACTTAAGTTTGTTTTCAAGGTCTGCATTTTATTCTTCAGGTTGCTATCCATGAGCGATGCCAAGCAATACATGCGGGCTGATGTAGGTCGCTGCCATCTGACAACCAACATGAATGAGCCCGTTGTGGTGCCTAAAGTAGATGAAGCAGAGGAAGAACCGACAGAGGAGCCCACCATTCCGACCTCCTCGAATCTATCTGGCAACACACCTGTGTCACCTACATCAGTACCCACTTCCTGTGCCTCAGAGGGGAATCCTGCTCAAGAAGATGATGCCAAGTCTGTAGCCAACGGGGCTACTTTCTTTGCTGAAATTTCTAAAGTGAAGAAGAAAGAACTGGCCAGGAGGTAAGACATGTAGAGATTCTGCTAAGTTTGTGCTCATTGGTTTGACAGTGTCCTTTATAGATCCTGTTTGTTTGCTTTCCTCACATTAATGGTGCAAACAAATGTTGTAATTTCTTTGTTTAAATTCTAAGACAATAAACCTCAAGAGTTCTCAGGTTTCTCCTCCTTTGATAACTCTTTCTGTCTGCCATTGTTTGTTTGTCCTGTTTTTGGAAAAGCCTGTCTTTTCCTTATAAGCTTATCTTTGCAATAAGCTGAATAGACACCTAGACAAAAACGTTTGTGCTATATTGTAAGATGCACTCGGAACAGATGGTGGACTGTGTGTTCATGTTTTTGTATAGAAGGTCATACTGTCACCAGGATATGTTTTTATTTCTTATAAAGTATTTAACTTCAATTCTGGGCTGTCGTTCAATTCAATACTGCATTTCAATTGTGCATAATTTTTTGAAGTTAGGTTACTTAATTGAATTCATTGGAGAGTTATGGCACAGTTTTGGTTCAAAATTCAATACACATACTTTTTCTTTCTTTTGTCTTCTCAGCCAATGATTTGGAGTCTTCAAAGATGTTCCTTTTCTTTTCCCTCAAACATAGGTTCGACTTCACTTTCGATTTCCGTACCTACTATGCTGATGGGTTGTTTGGTTACTTGACCAATGCAGACAAGTCATTTTACTTTGGCATCCAGTTGCGAGACGGAAAGCTGGAGGTGTCCTATGTGTACCTGGGTCAGCCAATGGTTCTACGTTACAACGAGCTTCTTAACGATGGCAAATGGCACTCTGTAAGTAGTTGTACTGACTGTCAGGCTCGGCGGAGGTGGTTACAAGAATCATTTTACTTTTTCCGTTTTCCTTTTTAGGGAAGACTATTTTAAAAGTTATGAGATAGTCTTGTGAGACATGCAGCAATGAAGTAGTTATATTTTAGTTGTAATATTCTTTGGAGAAAGCTGTATATATTTGTTTCAGTTTTCTCCTTTGTGCGATTTTGACTGACTCACTAAGGCTTCTGACTCTGATTGCAGGTTTGCGCGCTAGGATGCAGCATTTTGAGGTTGTATTAAAACAGTTGTAGGCATGCTCCCAAAGAGGACAGTAGCAAATGAGGTTTTTATATGTACTCCTTATCATTCAAACAAGCCTGAGCCTCAAAACAAACACTCTTATCAAGCATTATTTTTATGTTAAGATATGAAATTGAAGATGTTACGTTCAGTAGCAGTAGTTGGTTTTTTTGTTTTTTGTTGAGGAGTTATTTTTTTTGCTCCGTCAGACAATCAGAACATGGGGGGCTCAAATCATCTCAGATATGGGCTCAGAAGAATTGAAAATGGAAAAGTTTATTTTAACTTCCATGCTGTCTGCAAGCAATAGTTGGTATAAAAACTGTTATAGTTCGATAGTGAAAACTTGCTTGCTTCCAAATTCCTATGGAAGTAAAGAAACCCCCCCCAGACTAACAATAAAAAGTCATGGGGGCTCTGCTAGTCCGATATGGCCTGTATATAGAGCTTGCTATTATGGAAGCATGCTAAAATTGAAATAATATGTATAAGTCTTGTTTCTCCCTGAGAGAAGTTCATATAATTCACTCTTATCGTTTTGGATTGTCTTGCACGTTTAGTGGCACCTTCTTCTTAACTTTCTGAAGGACATGAAGCGTTCCTACCATGTAAACCTACATTGAGAATCTTTCCCTTGTTTTCTGATGTCAGGTTTGTAAAATCTTTCTAAAGTTTTACTTCATTCTACATGTTCCCAAGTAACTTACTCAGGTGTTTCAATGAATATGTTACCAGGTAGAAGTTAAGAAAAAGGGCGAGTCTGTCAGTGTCAGTTACGATGGCAAAACCGCGAAGAGTGACCTCATTGACCAGCGACTGGACATCAAGTTGCCCCTCCGTCTGGGTGGACCGGCCAAACCGGAGGATTTCACAGACTACAATGTGGATCTGGTGAGTAGAAAGCTGTATGCAGGCCAGTAGAATCTGTATGGTTATTTCTCTTTCATTTTAAAATAATGAAATTTCCACTTACAGTCGAACCTGCTCTAACTATCACCTGTACAAATGGCCTCTTCCTATTTCCGCTGTTGCAAACTTTTTTACATTATAAACTGTGTAAGATGGCCACCTCTCTATAATGGTTGGGTGGCTGTCTTAGACAATTTCAACTGTTTTTATAGGATCTGATTGTCTGAGTGTCTTGACTTGTCTAGTACAGCTGGAATATGTTTCTGTGTGAGCTTTTTACGAGCAGTATTATTTTTAGGATTTCAGGCACTCACAAACCACAAACAATGAAAAATGGGTGGTTTGGCAGCTGGTCTGCTGTAGTTTGCTCCTTCTTTCCTGTCAAACATATTGTCCTTATCTCTCCTTCCCCCCCCCCCTTTGTAAGTAACTCTTTAGTCACACCTCTAATCTTCAGCACATATATGACCTATTTGTTTTGCAGGTGCCGTAAAACTCTTACTGTGGGTGGTTAGTGGGTGCTCTGGTGTGGTTTGCTTCTTCTTTCCTATGAAACATCTATCGTCCTTTTCTCCCCTTCTTCTTTTTTGTGTTTGTTACTCTTTTGTAACACCTCTAATCTTCTTGCGCTTATATGACCTTATGCAGTTGCGAGCGCCACAAAACTCTTACGAAAACTAAACGAAACTCTTACTGAAACTAAACTTAAAACTAAATGATGAAAACAACATCACATTTTTTTTGGTCTCTAGGTAACCCATAGCATCAGAGGCTGCATCCGCTCCTTGAAGGTGAGCGGTCGAGGGGTGAACATCACGGACACGCAGGTCATACAGGACGTGGGAGGCTGCTACAAGAACGTGGAAGCTGGAGCTTACTTTGGTGGAGACGCTTTTGGAGTCATCAGTAAGTGTGATGCAGTAGTGTGGCATCATGGTGAAATCTGGCGCTCGTCAAAATAAGGAAATTGAAGAAATTGTCATTTTTGCACCCCTGGGTTAATTTTTGCCTATTTCTTTTTTTAGCTCAACATTTATTACATTTGTTTGGATGTGTGGATTTTAATGAAAAACAATGATCGAAGGCACCAAATGTGTAAATTTGCAGTTTCCAAGGACATTCAAGTTTGGAAGTCATGAATTTTGGTGGCTATTTTCTCACTAATTTTACCTCTGACTCTAGGAGACCCCTTACCTCCTTCAATTGCATATCCCGACTTTTATTCTAGATTGATAAACATTTTTAAAAATCCAAATCAGAGCAAAATATAATACCCAGTAAAATACCAAAAAAGTCAAATATGAGAAATGAAAAGCTTTATAAATTATAGAAATAGTGGAGCTCAAAATGATATGGACTGACATCTTGTCCCTTTCTTCAGGTGCACATACATATGACATTCATAATGTAATGTTAATATATTATTCTCTCGTCTGATGAGTATCCTTGACAATATTTGAAAATTTAATGATATGGTGTTGGGCTTTCAAATCCAGACATTTCAATCTGTTCTCTACAGCGGATGATTTTGACGTGCCAAAAAAGATGACGATAACTCTGGAATTCAGGACCACTAGCCAGAGGGGAGTGTTGGTATCCAGTAGTGATGGCTCAAAGTTTGGCTTCACTCTAGAGTTGGATGAAGGAAAGGTGAGAAACACAACGCTTGTGAGCATCATCATTGCCTTTCTCTGCCCGGATCAGGATATAGGCCACGAACAAACACTTTCCACCTTTCCCTATCCTGGGCTAGTCGCTTGATTTCACTCCACGTCTTCCTACTTTTCTGTACATCCATTTCTGTGACTCTTCTCCAGGTTCCTCGTTGTCTTCCCCTTGATCTTTTACTTGTTCGACAGAGAAGGTTTTGTTTCAGAAGAGTCCTTTCGGCTTTGTCCACTGTCCTTCATTGTTCCTGCTGGTGCAGAAGCTCTTCCGTCTCCCAAAATGAAAAAATTATAAGGTGTGTTTGTTCGTGTTTCTATAACTTTCCATTTTTACTGGGTCGGATAGTTGGCCCTCCGCAAACTGGCACTTTGCGGGTGGCCAGACCTATGCACCTTTAGTCACCTCTTACGACACACAGTATCACGGCAGATGTATTCTTTACTCCCCCATAGTAAAACTATGGGACCCCCCCCCACCTGTGAGCATGCTGAAAAAATGCACAGCTTTTGTTCAGTTCCTTAAGGAAATTTTCAGGCACTGTGTCGCGTTATGAATAATGTATGTGTAGAATACAAGAGAAGAAGTAGGCTGGTCTTCTAGATGTGTTTTTGATCATATTATTATATTGTGAGCATGCTGTACTGCAAGGATCTTGAAATGAAAACTGAACCTGAGCCTTTTTGACGTTCCTGTTATTTTTATGCTTTAGTATATCTTGATTCCTTCTAATGTCTCTGTTATGAGGTATTTTTGATAGTTGACAAAGCCAAACATTTGATTATTCCCTTTGAAAAGACATTTGGTTTGAGTAGGAGCATAATCTGCCTCTTGCTTTTTATTTCCCAGACAGGTACACATGATACAAAGTTACTCTTTTTGAAGCAGACACCACCTTATGCATGGATTAATCAATTTGGAACAAACTCAGGCCTGTTTGAAAGCAATTGTCTTTACCCCCCAAAAATGCTGTTCCTACAGACATCATGTTTATATTTGTCCACAGTTGAAATTGGCAGTGATTAATAAAAATGGCCCATTCCGTGTGGAAAGCAATAACGACAAGATTTTCTTCTGTGACAACAAATGGCACAAGGTAACAGCTGTTCTCTCAGACAACGCTCTGACATTGTCACCTGAGGGACTTGGTGACTCCAGGCTGACCTCTCGTCTTCCCTTAGGAGACATAGGCCTCAAAAGTCCACTATTTGTTGGTGGCTTTCAAGGTAAATTGCTGTTTGGTATTTGGGTTCTGTTATGCAATTAGTTCCCCTCCAAAAGGATAAATGTGAAGTGTGCTGACAATATGAGTTACTTTTCACATTCAAGCCTTAAAGAAATAGATACATCGTGTTTATAGATGACATTTTTACAGTTTATAAGTATGAAATAATAAAAGACAGGTTATAGTCCAAGAATATGGCATCAATTGAAAATCTACAAGTTTGACCCTAATGTCAATTTTTGGCCAATATCTTCTTTTGTGGATTGCCAGAAGTAACTAATTTTATCAACATGTCTCACACATAGCATCAGCAATAATGTACCGGGTAATGGTTTCTTATGATAGTGAGTCATAGAGGTCATCAGCAACTAGCTTGAAGAAGTTTCCCAGAATCCCTGACTATGACAAATGCAGTGTAGCACATGTGTAGCAAACACACACAAAGGGAACAGGGTTTTTGTTAGAACCTGAATTATTTTCTTGTAGGTATATATTCTTTGTATTTAAAACATATACATAGCGAAATTTGAACACTTCAAAAAGGTTTCTGTGTCCTGCCAGTTTGGCTTTGTGCGTGCTAGACTATACACTTTTTTGTGGCCAAATACTTTTTGGATGAAGGCCTACACTTGGAGATATCCTCTGCTCAGTCATTATGAAAATACAAGTGCGAAGATGAAGGTGCCTTAGAAATTAACTGTCATCTATTGCTAAAGTTGTTTTCTGTAAGACCACAAATTGCAAAAAGAAGTAGAGAAAGACGAGAGGCAACTTGGAGAACAGTGGCTGAGATGAAAGAGCAAGGGTGGACCTGGATTCTCCTTGAAAAATTGGTGAAAAACAAGGACTGAATAATTGTCCGTCAGTGGTGAAGGGGAGGTTTTGTGCACATCATCATGAAGCAATGTGTTGATATTGTCAAAATATAAAAGTTGAAGAAACTGGTATTTTCTCGCCAGTTTGGCATTTTTCATTGAATTTTTGTTTTTTTGGCTCAACACCTTTTATGTCCACATAAGAATATCTGTCTGTATGGATTTTACTGGAAAACGTTGATTAAAGGCACAAAGATGATCATTTTCTGTTTCCATGGACTCTCAAGCTATAAAAATAACCAAACCATGGTGGTCATTTTCTCATTAATTTTACCTCTGACACCAGGCTCCCCCCACCTTGTTCAATCACAAATAGCTTGATTTTTAATCAAGATAAATGGCATTTTTTTCATCGAAAGCATGACAAACGAACATGCTTTAAGATCATATCAATAACTCCACTTGCCAAAAAATTGACGAGCTCTTGATTCCACTGCGTTGTGACACATATATGAAGGGGATAAAGTATTTTAGGTGGTATAATGGTTAGGTTGTTCTCCCCATACCCCCCCAAAAAAGAGGTTATCTCATTTATCCATGCTGCGATGCAGTCTGCCTCTCAACGCGGGATCATCAATATAAAAGCAGCCTGCTGCCTAAACTGAATGATGTAAATTGTGTCGATGGTGCATACAATGTTTACAGTGTCTTTTCAAATTCTGTTTCTCTCTTTTTTATCCTCCAGATTCGTTTACCCAAGTTGCTAGTTCATCTGCTGACAATTTCATTGGGTGTATACGCGGCCTGGTCATTGATGGCTCACTTGTGGATTGGTACAAGCTCATACTCTCTCCAAATATCAGGAAAACAGCGTGCCCTATATCTTGATAGGAATGTCCAGCCATGTATATATAATATATTGTTTAGAATATTACCAAAAGACCATGTTGATGCCATGTGATGAGCTAAACCGTGCGTGATTGCTGTAATACTGTAGGATACTTTTATAATTTCATTTACTCATAGAGTAGAGAGTCTAGGTGGTAAGCTCTTCTATTGTTTTCTTCTGTAAATGACACTCCTCAGCCTTATCAAAAACAGCTGTTACTGTTTGATGAATGGAGCTGTTACGTACTGCTACCATTTTTGTTTTGTATACTTGGATGATACAGATATGGTTCCTATGCTGTGTTGCTGTGTATCTGTAGAAAATACAGAGATATTGAAGAACAGACTTGGGTTTCCACCAGCTCCTCTTGTGTGATGGACTGACTCTTGGCTTTGTACACAAAGAGCTTAAGTTTGATTCTCACATGTGGAAGAGGAAGATATTTTTTTAATACCTCTGTTGCTCTACTGAGATGCATCCCATAATAAATTTGGTTAGCCCTTACTCGTGGAGTTGAGGCAGCCAACCTCCAAAATTATCATCTAGAATGTGTTGTTGAGAAGGCATAAAACATCTAAATCAAATTTTCAAGTTTACTCAGTTCCCACAGAAGTTTAATATATATAACTGAAAAAAATTATCTCATTATGCTATGAGTTTGTTGACATTGCTGTGAATCAGAATAAAATGTCTTTTTTTTTTTTTCACTGAAGAATCTTCTGATTACTCTTAAGAACATTTTGTCTTGAAAGAAGTTGTGAAAGTTACAGGTATGATGTGATCTGTCCACTTGGATCCTGGATATTAGCTTTTCAAGAAATTTAGTGTGCCTACGCTTAGGAATCCAGCAGAGAGCTCATATGTATAAGTTCATGTCTTTGTTAGATGTATTTGGATTAGTTGCAATTTAGGATTTTTTTTTTTTCAATAGATTGGCGACGGTGCATGTTATTCTTTTAGAAGTGACCCCTTAAAAAGTTACATCCTGAAAGAGTCAACAGGTCTGTGGCACATATAGATTTGTAAATATGACCAGGTTGATTTATAACAGACCGGTATCGTACGAGGAGTATATGAGTATACCCAAGTGGATGTAGGGCATGTTGCTTTGTTTTTGTTGTTGGACGAAGTTTTATATGGACATGAGAGGATACTAAAGCTCATTGGAAGCCATTTTGTGTTGTATTGCGAATATTTTTAGTTTCTCATGAAGGCAAGTATTTACTTGGCTTGAAGTTGCTTAGACTGTGAGAGTGTTTCTAAAGATAAAGATGTAAAAATATAGAGATAGTTTAGTGGTTTGACTTTCAGAAAAACTCTGAAAGAGATTTCTGGTGTATGAAGTGTTCCAGACGCTTTTTTTTCTTTTTCGCAGTTTAAATGCTCTTGTTGTAATTGAAGTCAGTGTCTTTTTTTACTTTGTGTCTAAATTGTTCCTGAATTTGTTCTTCATCTGAAGTTAGTTGATGGTAGAGAACTACCTGTTCAAACACAGTCAAATCTGAGATGCCCATCCGTTATTGTGGAGAAAAGTGGTCATCTTAGAAGAACGGTTCTCTAGGACAGTTTTATTATGAAACAGAAAAAATTCAAAAAGAAAGTTTAAGGTGGTTGTTAGAGCAGGTTTGACTTTGTTAGGTGCATGATATTTTTTCAGGCTTATATAAGTTTTGCATTTATTTTCAGGTACTGTGTGATCAGTAATTATATATTATGTTAATAAAAAGATTCCCAATGTGCCACAGCAATACTCAGTGTAGTTTAGAGTATCTATTGTTAGGGATTGCGTGGTAAATTTTTCCGTATTCAGTATTCGTTCCTTATTGTACGGAATGGGTTGTTTTTTTTTAGGTACATCCAAAATAAAACCTCTGCCTATTACATTCATAAGGTTTTAAGTTTATTAACGAGTGCTTGAAAATGTTAGAGTTAAAATCGAAATTTTTAGACACTTCATGCATGAAAAAGTCTTGAAGTCATTTGTTTCCTGCAGAGTCCTTGATTTTAATTAATTGTGTCTTAAACCACAAGAGGAATTGTTCCTAACGCATGGTTTGAGATTGTTTTGTACTTACGTCAACATGACAATATCTCTAAACAGCCATTGTCACTTCAATCTATAGAATTTAGTTCCTATTTCAAGAGCCTGCGAACATATTATGTTGTACATGGATGTGTTGTTAGGTCTGTGGATGTAACTTATTTTGTGTTATCCGAGTGAGTCCTTTTTTTTTCAGAGGACGATCATTAACAAAATGGCAACCCTGGCATGAGAGATTAACTGATTTACTCCCTTTAAAAATTCCCCCCTTTTTGTCTCCGTTCAAGATGCAGAGATAGTCCGCTTGCCACAGTGATAGGATTGGTAATTGAACTGTCCAAAGTGAAGAAATTGGAGGTTTCAATTCAAATGGAACAGGCATTTTTGCCTTTCTGAAAATGTCTACTGTGTGTTTGTTATTTTGGCTTTAAAAAATATATCATTATTCTAAGTAGGGCCCATATCATTGAGTGTCAAGAAAAAGAAATAAGATGTCCCTTAATAATTTTATTATAATCAGCTGTTCAAAATGACACTCTGTGCATTGACAAAGTCTTACCCTGCTAATTCATGTTTTCAATGTTTACCACTTAAAGACCAGCTTCTGGGAAGAGTGGATTCTGGGGATTGTGGCTCTAAGGGACAGTGGGGCCACCATGGGACTGTCTCAGTTAACTCTCATAGCCTTGAATTATGCAATAAAGACCAGGTGCATTCTACTATTTAATGTTGTCTGCTTCTCCAAGCATTTATTCGTTGATATGAGTATGTGGACTCACATCTGTTTGTTTTATGTGTGAATGGTTGTGTAAAATGTATCACTTGTGGGTTTACCATGATGTGTGCTCTGTTCTTTTTTTTGTCCAAGTGAATGTGACCCATCACTACCTTCTAAGTTTGAATGATTGAGGCACAGATGCATCTAAAGAGGTTATGTCATGTTATCAGGAATGTGTGTATGTGCGTGTAAGGCGTCACTCAGCTCTAGACTTTGATATGTGCAGTCAAGACTGAAGGGGCAGAATGGAAGGACATACGTGTTTCCTCATGTGAAGAGTTGTAAACTTTCTTCCATTTGTATAAGACAAGTTGTTTTTTTATCTAGTATTGGTGGGATTTCTGTTGTTGCTTTTTTGTGGAGGAAGTATGATTTGATTTCCAGAGCACTGTGCATGTCTTATGTGAAGTACAGTATGGTTACTTAGTCTCTCAGACCATGTGTAGCCTTCAGTGCTCACTTCATATAATGATTGACATAAATTGACTTGTTAAATTGGTGCCAAATACAAAACTATGCCATATATGCAGTTACATAATTTAGGCTTACATATATAAATTTGATTTCGTCTCCAATTGGCTGTAGACGGAATAGAAAGAGAAATTGACGTGATTAGGTTTGGTTTTGTCTTTTTTAAAGAAGTAGAAATAGACATAGTGCTAAAGAGGTTGTAAATGTTTACTTTTTAAAAATGTATTGACAAATGATAATTTCAACAAGCGACTTAAGTTATTTATACTCAAAGTTTGCTTGATGAAATTTCATTTTTATAGAGCACTTCATTTTCAGTTTCTTGTAGGAATCCTATGCATAATGAAGGAATATTTTCACCAAAGTGGCCATTATTGGTGAATGTGGTGTTTTAGATTGTTCCTGTAATGTTATGTATACGATATTTACTTTTTGTACATGATTTCTGTATAGTTCTCCATCTGCATATACTTTTGTATTTATTGTGATAATTACTGATATTTATTATTCCAACCATAAAGACACATTATATTTCTTCATTGTTAGCTCTGTTACCCAGTTTTCCCTATCTATATTGTAGTCCTGTGTTTCACAAGTCATGGCTTTTGTACTCACTGCTCCTGTATCGGATTCCACAGAAACTAAAGAATGCAGTTGCAATCTGTATTGCTGCTCATTGATTGAAATGACAAAATCCGTCTACTACACATTAGAAAAATTGTTATTAACACACGTTCTGTCAGTCTAATTTCAACATTGTAGTTCTTATGTTATTCCTAGGTATTTGTGGGTTTTTTAGCAGCTGTATAATGAAAGTTTCAGAAGTAAATCACTTTTTGTCGTCCTTTCTGAAGGCTGATCTTATTGATGTAAAACAATTTTGTATATTTTTTTAGGGGGGGGGGGGGCATAGCTGATTAAGTCTCCCCTTTAGGAAGCTTTCTTGTGTTTGCTTTCTTGTAGTATGTCCTACTCAATCTGTCAGGCTATGCTGGAGTACCAATTGTCTTCTTCCTATCTTGTTTGAAACATTTTGATTCATGTAATATTTTACTCATATCTAAATATTCGAACATCATTTTGGCATAGTGTATGTTTTTGAAGACGGTTTGCTCTCTCATGGAAATAGTCTCCCCTCCCCTGTCCCCCAAATGTGCAGGAGCGTTAGGCCGTTGTCATAAATTTTTCAATGTTATTCACTCCTGGTCATTCTAGAATGTTCTTTGGAGACCACAGTAGATTTTTCTTTTGTTCGTTTGCTTGTCTATGGCAGCATAGTGGAGTTTAACTTGCATTACATCCATGCTGGATGTGCATGTCGTATTGCCAAAGGTACAGTCCATTAGTTTTAATCAAATTATGTGAGGCATCGTGGTGAAGTCCAGCATTTGCAAAATAATGAAATCAAGGAAACTGGAATTTTTCAACTAGTTTTGCAATTTTTATAGAATTTTTGGGTTTTCTTTTTTAGCTCTGCACCTTTTATATCCGTTTAAAAACACATTTCTGTGTAGATTTTATTGAAAAACGTTGACTAAGAGGCACAGTAATATGTAAATTTGCAGTTTCCAAGGACTCTCATGCTTTGGAAGTCACCCTACTTTGGCCGCCATTTTCTTGCTAATTTTACTTCTGAAACCAGGCGACCACAATCTCCTTCAGTCGCTAATATCTCGACTTGTATTCAAGGTAGATGAGCATTTTATTCATCTAAAACAAGACAAATGAACAAACTTTATGATGATAACAATAACTTAACACGCTCAAAAATTGACGAGCGCCTGATTCCACTGCGCCATGGCACAAATAGTGTTTATTCTTATCTACATATTTGTGCCTTAGGTCCTGTAATGTATCTGTTGTGTTTTTCCCCCTTTGACTTCATTTCGGCTTATATGCTCATTCTCCCTTCCCCTTACATTAAATCATCTTTTTAACAGTCAAATGTAGCCGGTGATTTTAAGCAATTATTGCCATCTGTTATCGTTGGCCCTTTTGGGTGCTTGTGTCATTTGTGGCATGGGATTTGACCTCCAGCTTATCACATCATCCCGAATAAGCCTACTCCTGTTGTTCATTTTTAATTCATCAAGAGGTACACCTTATTGTCTTGGATAGAACTTTTCAGACTTGCCTTTGAAACCAAGTCTTCTATCTCGAAAGAAATTCTCCCTCAGAAAGAAAAGGGAAGTGAAAAGTAAATTTCATGGGATGGGGGTTGTCGATTTTATACTTGATTTTAGAAAGTGTATTGTTACAAACATATGCCTACTACAAGGGGCATGGCCCTCGCCTGATCTTTTTGTTTGAATGTCTGTTCCATTCCTGCTGTCATAATTAATAGTTCTGTGAACGTTGATGGTGAACAGATATAAGGTAGGCAATATGTATATATTTGTTAGGTACTTAAGACACATATAGACTGCTTAGAGTAAGACTCCGCCTTCTGTCATTTTGAAAATTGACATATGTGAGGCAGCGTGGTGAAATCAAGTGCTCGTCAAAATAAGGAAATTTTAATCGAATTTATTTTTTTTTCTCAACACCTTTCATGTAAATTGAAGAGCACATTTCTATGTGGATTTTACTGAAAAACTTGACTAAAGGCACAAAAATGCAAATATTCTGTTTCCACGGACTCTCAAGCTAAAGAAATAACCTAACTATGACGGCCATTTTCGCGCTAATTTTACCTCTGAAATCAGATGGCTCCACCTCCTACAATCTCCTATATCTCAACATGTATTCAAGATAAATGGATATTCTTCCATCGAAAGCAAGACAAATAAACAAGCTTTAAAAGGATATCAATCACTCCACATGCCCAAAAATTGACGAGCGCCTGATTCCACCGCGTCATGACACATATATATGACATAGCCTTACAATGAGCAGTCGACAAAATACCGATAAGTCTTTGAGAGGTGCAGTTAGTGGCAATTTAGTGTTTGCCAAGTGTTTGCTTGAAATAAGCATGATCGAATTACAATAGTTGTGAGAGAGAAACAGACAAGGGTCTGCTGATTTTTTAGTTATCAGGTTTAAAACAAAAATGAGCCTGTTCCTTGTTTGGGTTTCTTTTTTGGGGAGGGGGGGGGAGGAGGAGGGAAGCAGGAGTTGGCCTTGCTGCAGTGGCAGTGTTAGCTACATCATTTAGCTTGTTTTGAAAATCTGTCGTTGTATGTTATTGTGTGTTGAAATTTTTAATTAGTGAGAATAAAAAAATTTGTTCATTAGTATTGCTTTAACAAAGTTTATGTATGTTGTTTTTATTTTCTTCTTTTTTTCATTTTATTTTAAAAAATAAGACCTACCATATCACATAAAGCATAATACTGTGACCAATATCTGATAAACATTTATTTCTGTGACTCTCCCTTCTTCTCAAATAAATAGCTCTAAATGATTTTGTTCCTGAAAATGTTTTTGTTTCTTATTTATATTACGTCAGATTATGAATGAGTGTTGGAGGCAGGTCCTTCTTTTTTTATTTTCCCTATGGTGTCTCTGTATATCGCTATTGCTTTCCCTTAGAAATTAAGCTTCTGTCACTATATCTAAATATGTTACTCCTCTTATATACAACTATAAGTCAAGTGTTGAAACAACTGAATGAGGTAGTAGATAGAATAAGTATTAGGCACATATTGGTGGATGGTCGGCGGGTGCTCTGATGTGGTTTGCTCATTCTTTCCTATCAAACATCTATCATCCTTATCTCTCCTCCATTTTTTTTTGGTTACTCTCTTGTAATACATTTAATCTTTAGCACTTATATGACCCATAAATGGTGTTGTAAGTGCCATAAACCTCTT